ATTTTTAAAAAAAGACAAAAGCTAGTAAAAACATTACAATCAATGCCATCCAGACTCTGAGAAATAACCACAGTTTGCAGTGATCCCGAGGCATTTATTCTAGAAGCACAGCTAAATTTCCACAAGGACAGAGACCTGTGTGATAGTTTAACTTGTCCTGTCCCATTTTCTCTTGTCCCTGTGCCTGAAACCCAATCGCCTGCCCTTTTTGTGAATCCTAGAAGCTTGTTTTCTGCAGAAGGTGGCTGCGCAGGGTTGACATTGCTCCCAATTCCCAGACATTGTCTTTCGGTGACTGATCCAGTGAGCCACAAGATGGCTCTTTACAAGGCTGTCTTTACTTGACCTGATTCTGAGTTCATTAAGTAGTCAAAAAACAAAAACAAAAACACCAACCCTACTTCCCCAGAGGTGTTTTTCAAACAGAACTAGAGGCAAACAGTTAAATTTGGTGGCTGGCTACGGTCACTAACTGGTGGAGCCAACAACTTCCTGACATCGAGTCTATGTTACTCACAGAGACTCTATAGGGCAGCATAGAACTGTCCCTGTGAATTTTTTTAAATCATTTTATTGGGGGCTTGTACAATTCTTATCACAATCCATACAACCATCCATTGTGTCGAGCACATTTGTACATTTGTTGCCATCATCATTCTCAAAACATTTGCTTTCTACTTGAGCCCTTAATATCAACACCTCGTTTCCCTCTCCCTCCCTTGTGAATCCTTAATAATTTATAAGTTATTATCATTTTGTCATATCTTACACTGTCCAACGTCTCCCTTTACCCGCTTTTCTGTTGTCCATCCCCCAAGGAGGAGGTTATATGTAGGTCCTTGTAATCGGCTCCCCCTCTCTACCCCACCCTCCCTCCACCCTCTGAGACTGCATCTGTTCCGGAGAATAAAACCTCTGTTTTTCTCCTGTGGAGTGCCCGGTGATTTCAAACTGCCGGCCTGTAGATCCATTCAGATGGGTAACTAACCACTATGTTATCAGAGCTCCCTAGGGGCAGACAACAGGCTAGTCACAAAGTTTAAAAGAAAAACTAAGGGGAATGAGAGACTTATAAGAGTTTAGAAAATCTTTGATACATTCCTGGGTATCATTCCCAAATTAAAAAGCAGAGCAAAACAAACCCTCCCTGCCAAAAACCCCCAAAGACCCAGTACCACAGACTTCAATGGTCAATTCTACCAAATATTTAAACAACTAACCCCAGTCCTTCCTAAATCCTTACATTAAATATGAGAATGGAATACTTCCCAACAACTTCTATGAGACCAAATTTCTCTGGTACCAAAATCAGAATTGCTAAAGATGTTGGAATTATTGAAGATATTACTAATGATTATTAATAGCTGTATTTCAATGGCTCAAAAACTTAAGCTACTTGAACACACACATGTATTTATATGTCTATGAAACTTCTAAAGATGAGTATTTCAATGTCTGAGATGACAAGTAGACTGAGTTGGGATTTATACATCCCAGAATAAGTAATTAGTGATCCTGAAGCCATCCCTATAATGGATAAAAAGGACTACACTATTGAAAGATACCACAACATGACCAGATCTCAAAATACTTAGGCTAAGCGACAAAAAATAGCACATGTAGTAGGATTCTGTTTATATAAAGCCATGACAGCAAGTCTAGAGTGACATAAAGCAGGTTGGTTTGGCTGCAGTGGAGGGAAAGAGGAGAGAGGGATTCAGAGAGCGCACACAGAAACAATT